TGACAGTGTATTTTGCAGCCGGTTTGTGCATAGCAAGGTCCCACAAATAGCCTTGAAGTGAATGACGAATTTGACCTGGAGAGTTGTTGGCAGACACTGCACGTTACAGTATATCCTGTGAAGCATTTTGAGATATCCTCCCGACTTGAAAGGTACTAATTTAAATGTTGATTGTTTAAGCCCTCCCGAGATGCTGCCTGCGTGAAGGGCCTTATGTAAATTCAAGTTGTCTTTGTTGTAACAAGATCAAATTCTGACCAAAAACACCAATTTAGCTACTCACACAAAAATGCACCTTTCAAATCGGTGTAGTCAAATGTGTGGTCACAGTCAAATGTGTGGTCAGTTGAACTGCGCTCGAGAGATCAGAGAATCTTACACCTTAGAAGGAGGCCATTCGGCTCTCAGAGCAAGATGCCCACTCAATCCCTATCTCATCCCCACACCTCTTCAAGCCTTTTCCTTTCATGTTCCTTTTACTTCCCTCTTGAAACCCACAATGGACATTGCTTCGACACCTTACTGAGCAGGGCATTTCACAACAACGTGGCCACATATCGATACTGTGGAGTACTATATGGTATTGGTTAGAGCAGTCGCCTTGCAAATGATAGGACCCAGATTCGATTCCCGGGCAGGTCAAAACCTTAGGCAAGTTTCCTTACTCCACACTCCTCTGCTTACCTAGTAGTAAGTAGGAACACGGTTGTTAATCGATTGGCGGATCGCTTTCTGGGCGTAATATTCGCTTAAAAAAATAATAATAGAAGAATTTGGTCACTCAATCCACAACTGTTTGTGGGACACTGCTGTGTGCAATTGGTTGCCCATAAAATCCACTAAATTCACTTTGCAGTATAGTCTGTGAAGCGCTTTGAAACGTCTCAATGACATAATAAATTGCCATATCAAATGCAATTGTGATGATGATGATTATTATTATTGTTATTACTGGATTCTTAAAAAATTCCCCACCTTCTAAATATTCATAAGGTATGCTTTTGTGACTGATGTGAAAACCTTTTGTTAGTGAATTACGAAAGGCTGTCACACTTGAGCCAGTTCCCCATAATCTGAGGAAACAATACCATCATTGCATCACAACTAATCTCCCTGTTGGTAGTTCAGGCTCATTAATATGACCAACGAGTGGAGAATAACGGAGACATTTAAGGTGAATGATTCACAGGTGGCTGGTTGCAAAGCCTCTGTGAAAGTGCAGTGTTTAATGCGAAGATTCTGTGCTTCACAGTGCAGGAAATGTGCAGGGCTCTCTCACATGTTAATAATTTGATGTCACTCCAGCAATGCTCTTCATCATTAATTCTACAGCTCGCATGTTGCATCAAAAGTCCCCAGATATTTTTTTCTGCGGCCTTGATTCACCTTGTATCTCTATAGTCGGTGGCTCTCAGTTCTCCTTTGAGCTTGAGTGGGTCTCTGAAATTATTGACAACTCTGTGCTCAGATACCACCCCACATTAATTGGCAGCAACGACAGGTTACGAGCAACTGCTATGTGCTGGGCCTTTGCAATTTTTTTCTTCCCCTCACCCCCCCAGCTCGGCCTTGTGCTCTGGCACTGTCATGGCTCTGGGACATTACCCTGCGTGAGGGGCGCTGTGTAAATGTTATAAAAGTTATTGTTGTCATTTCGTCCACAAAAAATACAGTAAGTTCACTCTACAGTATATTCTGTAAAGCGCTTCGAAAGGTCTCAACGACGTGATAAGGCGGTATAGCAAATGATTATTATTATTGGTATTATTATTATTGCTGCTGTTGTTTTTCCCAGTTTTATATGTGGTCCTTTGGATGAGACATTAAACCTGAACGTCTGCCTGTTTGGGCGGATGTTAAAGATCCCGTGGCTTTTTCCCCCCCCGCCCCCGTGTCCTGGCCAACAATCCCCCAGAAAAAAATAAACATTCACGTCACGGCTGATTGCGATACACTGCTGTGTGTAAAAAGTGGTTGCTGTGTTTGTCCAGTCACGACACTTCACAGTAAAGAGCTTGACCGTGTGATAAGGCGCTATATCGAATGCAAAGGATTATTATGTTGTCCAAATTGTGCTCACTCCCATGACAACAGATGATACCCCAGTAATTGGCTTGTTTAGCTCAGTAAATTCCCAAGGACGCTGCCCCTTTAATTTGGTTGCTGAACACCAATCTATTTGTACATTTGTGAGAATATCGACATCACGTCAGTCAGGGGAGCTCAGAGCATCCGGGTCTGTATTCAATAAACAAAACTGTACAGAAAAACATCCCGCAGCTCTCATATAATCCCTTAGTTACATTAAGTGGATCCGATTGTAAATTCTGAGTATCCACAGTGTGCTCGCAGTCGGTTTTTAATTTGACTCCTCACCTCATTGCTGTTGGAGGCACAGATTGGCTTCCGCTGTTTGCCTACGTATCAACGCTCTGCATTAAATGCATATTTGCTGTTTGTGTATTAATTTTGCTCCTAGTTCATTGTGTATTGTCCCCCCTCGTTCGAGCTCATAAGCTTAAACTTTGCGATTCAGGTGTCTGTGAAGGGAATCTCCCCTCACGATTTCACAGAAAAGTTTCTCTCCTGTTATCTTGGTCTATATTCCCTGCAAATTCACCCCCCAGAAATTCTAATTACAGGGGATTAACCCTTGACAAATGGCCTTCAATACAACAACAACTTGCATTCATATAGCAGCCCTCAAGCGGGGCACAGCGTCTCGGAGATCTTAACAGTGGTGGAGCCTGACGCAGAGCTGGGTGGGAAGGGGGAGGTAATCGAACCACAGCCGATGGAATGGCCCCCCCCCAAAAAAGCAAGTGAATGTCAGGGAAAATGGGGTGTCGATTCATGGGGGTGCCAGCCTTGAAGGCTGTGTTTACTTAGCACCCTCACTTATAATTCAGTTTAAGGGCACTATATATATGGTCACCTCTCCCTTTCCCCTGGCTCGGCATCGGGCTCGGCCACTGTTAAGCACTCCAACACGCCATCCGGTGTGAAGGGCACTGTATAATTGCAAGTTGCTGTTGTCGATGAAAGCTTGACCCTGTCTTAACTTGTCACTATCAGTTAAGTCCTTGTGTTGTCAATATCCCGGCCGCATTTAATTTATTTATACATATGCCTAATGCGCCAGATAACTCGTCACGGAGTCATGGGATTGACGAGTTATCAGGGGTCATTGCTGGATCTGGATTTATAGTGTGGGAAGTAGAGGAGAAGAGGGGGAAAGATATCCCCATAATGGGATAAGCTACTCATTTCATTGATAGCCGTTAAGCCGGCCGTTTGCATCTCCGTAATAACATTCACTTGGTCTCTAATTCATCTCATTCGAAGAAGCCGCTGATACGAAAGGGTCTAATATGAATGTTATGATGTTATTGTTTAGTGACGGACACAAGATCCAACTGTGATAACTATACTTTAGTATTGCTAGACGAGCCAGTGAGGTGCAGAAATCTATACCGTCTAGTGCAGAGGTCAGTCATTCAGCTGTCAGTCACATCGATAATATTAATTTTAAATTACGTCAAAATAATTCTTGACAGGGCCCAGCGTGGAAGAAGATAATATCCCACCCACTCATTTTCATGCAATTAGACTTTATTCCCTCTGCATGCTATGATTGCTGCAGTGAGCTGTTGCATTTTGCTGTAAGAAGTGTACATTTTGGGGGTTAAGCGACACCTCCCAAAGCAAAATCACACTGGAGTCAGACGCCAGAGATCACTTTGAGAAGGTGTTTTTTTCAACAAGTCAATCGATGTCATGTGAAAGCATGCGCTGTGACACCGTGCCAGACACCACCGTAGCGTTTACAGAGCCTGTTTACATTTCATTTTATTTTAATTCTGAAGGGAGCGTGACATAGCGAATAGAGAAAACAATCATTTATGTTTGCTGGGAACTGGTAATGGGGTTTCGCCCCGTTCGGGAATGAAACCCGGGTCCTCTCGCTTGCGAGGCGAGTGCTCTAACCAATACGCTACAGGAATCGAAGTTCGCCAAAGAGGCTTGGATGAGTAAGTTCCTTCAGCCCATTTGCTCTCATCCTTCCAGACTACCCACCCGACCGTCCTCCCATCACAGCATTAAGCTATTTTCTTAAAAAACATCTTGGCCTCACCTCCCCCTGTTCCAGTTACTAATTATCTTCTGGGTAAAGAAATACCTCCTGATGTTGAACTCAAATGAGTTCAAAATCCTTGTCCTCGCCTTCAAAACCCTCCACGGAACGTCCTTCCTACCTGTCACCTGAGCCATGTCAACCTGCCCGCTACCTCCGATCAGTAAACTCCAGCCTGCTCCACATCACCTGCCCAACCATCGTCGGTTGGGCCTTCAGCCTCTCTGCCCCCACACCTTTGGAACTCCATCCCACAGTCCCATCGCCTCACTCCTTCCCTTTCCTCCTTCAAGGCACATCTCAAGATCTTCCTCTTCAACCGCGCCTTCAGCCACCGTCTTACCCCTACCCTCTCTGCCCTCTAATCCCAATCCTCAGCTCAGTTCCAAAGCCTTGACTGTCCAATGCCTTGGGATGTCCTCCCGACATAAAAGGCGCTGTATAAAAGTAATTTGTTGTTGTTGAGAATGCCCCTTGCAATCCTGAAAACCTGTGGCCTCTTCTTCTGCCATGGGGGGAGAGGGGGGTGTGGAGCACCTCGCTAGAGTGTGGTTTCCCCCACTCCTCCCCTCCCAAGCCACCTCCCCTCCCACACGCCCCCCTCTCCTCACCCCCTCTCGCCAGCAATTAATGCTCCTTTAAGGGTTAACGGACGGAGTTCCAGAGCATACGGTAAGCTCTGCTGGGGGGGGGGGTGGGGGGGTTAAAAAAAAATAAGACAGTCCAAATATGCCACCAAATCTGAATGCAGCTGAAGTCATTCATTTAGAAGCGCTGGTGTTGCTTCCCATGTCACCGAAAAGACAACCGGTCCCATTGATTTGCAAATTGAAATACAAAAAAAACCAGAACAAAGGCTACTTACTGCACTCCTACTGTAGTCCATTTATAGCACACACACTGGCAGCTTTGCTCCATTTCCCACTGTTTATATCTCTTGGTTCACTCCTGGCAGGCAGGCACGTATGGATGTATATACGTACATACTTATTTATTTATTTGATTTATTTTTGAAATAAAAAAACTGCCCCCCACCCACCCACCCAAAAAAAAACACACAAGTCAAATTTACGGCGTGTTCCAGTGAGAAATGAAAACCATTTCACAGTGGCGGGTCAGGGCTCTCTTTCTCTCTCGCTCGTTCTCTCTCTGTCTGACTGTCCATTTGATTACTAGGCAAAGGGGGGAAATCCACATGATCAAAGTCTCATTTTCTCCTGGGAAGTCAGCGACGCAACAGATCTGCAAACAAGATAGGCTGAGCATCCATTTTCTCTTGGGCTGCTGCACTGAGCACACGAGATTCAGGGCGCTTGATAAGCAGTGAGAGCTGCTCTCTATGGGCGCCTGCAGCAATCAGGAGGGGGGGGGGGGGAAATAACACACACAACCAAGCAACCACAAACAGGTAGCAACCACAACTGTTTTTGTCCTGACCTGCTTCTTTCTAGCATATAAAGCAAGCAGCACGAACAGCAGCGTGGATGTGGGGTGAGGGGCGGGGGGTTTGGGTTGGGCGGGGGGGAAGGGGGAGTGTGCGGAAGGAAGTCTTCCCTTTTACTGAAATGAACCTGAACTGCAAATATTACAATGTGGCTGGATCTTCACACAGCAAGGAAGTTGCAATCATACACGAGTCCTTAATGCTTCTCTCTCTCTTATCACATAACTGTTCACAATCTCAGTGACTCAATTTGTTAATTTCACAACGGTTTTCATCCCACACGAGCCTCACATCTCGAGAATATCTGCGATCCAAGCGCTATTCGCTACTACAATAAAAAAATCCGTGCATTTGGTACAGCACCTTACCATGTTGGAAAGTCTCACGGGAATTAATGTGAAATGGTGCAACTGTATTTGTAGACGAACGTGGCAGCAGAATTACACACAGCATCGCCCTACGTTCAGCCATGGAGTGAATGACCAATTTTATTTGGGGGATTGTTGGCCGGGACACCAGGAGAAACTCCCTTCTCTTTTCAAAAGTGCCATTGGGTCTCAAATCGATTCGCAGGATCTCACTGTAAAGTGGAGTGACTATGTATTTTGTGGGCGTTCAGCAGAATTTGCCAACATTTCCAGACCCAATTCACTCAGCACGTGTCTGTTCACGACCAGCTTGGAAGGGCAGAAGGGAGTTTGACAGAACGGAAAACCAATTTGTGATGCATTGGAATCTTGTTAAGAGTGCAATGTTGTGTCCTTCAAAACACCTTTGCACTATGTTCCCCCTTCCTCCCCTCCTACCCTACCCCATTGGTTAACACCCATATTTTGAATAAATACGTTGAAAAGCCCAAAGCACTGCAGTGGGATGGAACAGCAAGAGACAAACCAGACAGGGAGAGCAGGAGAACTTACACACAATCCAAGAACAGCCACTATTTAATATAGCAACCTTCATGCAGGATAGCGTTTCAGAGCGCTGTGCATAGGCAGGGTTGGGTGCCGAGGAAGGGAGAAGGGGTAGGGGACCATAGATGCGGTCGAAGAGGTAGGTCTTAATATATAAGATCCAGACACGCTTACAGCAGCTGTGTCTGAGAATGGATATTTCGAGCATTGCAATTTGCTTAGATAACAGGCGCAATAAAGGACTTTGCATATGGACTTGTAACAGAAACTCGCCACAAGTTTCAGTCAGCGTGTCTCATTTGGTAGCACTCTCGCCTCTGAATCAGCCAGTCGTGGGTTCAAGACCCCATCGGAACTTTGACTTTGTGGGACGTTGCCGTACGCAAACTGGCTGTCGTGTCCGCCTACAAAATACACTTCGATAGACTTTACAGTGAATCCTGCTTGTGAAGCACTTTGAGATGTCCTCTAGACGTGAAAGGCACTGTATCAAATGCAAGGATTATTATTTCAATAATGCGGAAAGAGGTCAGTGGATTGACTGCATTACAGCTCACATGCGGCTCAACGCTGTAAGAAAGAACTGTAAGATAGTCTGTAGTTTCCACAGCATCATAACATTTCCTTTATGACAGAGCTGTCACATTGGTGATTTACAATGTAAAGTGCAAAACCATCTCCTTTACTCCCTTATCAACGTAATCAGAAACCACAAGCATGATAATTGTGATAAATAGCGCGCACAAGGCCTTCTGGCAGTGCCTACCACAAGAAAGGTAGCATATCCGAGGGTGTGTGTGTGGGGGGGGGAGGGGAGGAAGGTGGGTTGACGAGAACCAGACAAAATCATATTGAGATGCACGTCAGAAAGCTGTGTCACACAAAATAAATCATGAAAGTGTACAAGGCCGTATTACTCAAGTGCTGTAGGTGCAACCGCTTCACGCCTGGTTTATTCTCTGTAATTCACCAACATCCCCACGTTTATACTGACTGTCCTTGTCTTAGAGGATTTTCTTAGGTAAACAAATGGTCCACCTGGAGGCTGTTCCAACAGCTCAGCTGGGCTGGCATCAAGCCGTACAGAGCAGCTTTAATCCCCACCACGGCCTGAAGGCCTTCCTCTTTGACCTGTTACCTCCCCTCTCCCCCTGGCTCGAAGTCAAGTTCCACCACAGTTGAGTGCTCTGAGATGCTACTACCTCCACATGAAGTCTTCAGATCGCACCTGAAGACTTTCCTCTTCAACTGGGCCTATGGTCACCTCCCCTTTTTCCCCAAATCATACCTCAAACTACGCCATTTTTAGGCGCTTCTAGATGCTACCTCGCATGAGGGGCGCTCTAATAAAGACAAACAGTTGTTTCCTTATGTTGTTGGCACCTGTGCCTTTGCGAAAGAGGTTTAAGAGGAGTATTTGAGGCAGCGAAAGGATTTTGAGACAGTTGTTAATTTTAGGAAAATGTTTTAAAAAATGTGGTCACTTTGAGACGTCTCAACGATGAGATAAGGCACTATATCAAATGCAAGAATTATTATCATAATGTTATTATTGTATATTGATGTAGCATCTTTCACGTCACGTTGACATCTCAAAACACTTCACAGGCTTTACTCTGAAGTGTAGTGACAGTATTTGGAGGTGAACACAGCAGCCATGGCACAACAATGTCCCACAAACAGCCAAGTAGCGGATGACCAATTTTATCCAGCTATCGAAAAAACGGCTTAATGTACGATAACATTTTAGGAAGAAGGGGGGAAGTGACATTAAGTGCAGTCAAACAGATAGATTTCATGACATAATTTAATGACAGATAGAGAGAGATTCAAAGTGTGAAAGAATTTGTATGTGAGGGTAAGGATGTTGAACCTGATCCATTGGGAGATGGTGGAGCATTGCAAGATCTTGGACACGGTGAATCCATTCTGCTGGACAAGTTTTTTTTAACACGCACACAACTGAGGACAGGCAGAAGTACTGTACTCCCAGAAATCCGATAACAAAAATCGGTATGTGTAGCCTTTTGATTTATGCTACTTGTGTCTTGGGATCCGTCGAGATCTTTGCACTCGAGACATCACTAAAATATGAATGCTCGTCTCAAAATTGCATTCGAGAGCTGGGTATGAATAGAATCAGTGACTTGGGGTGTGATATTAAGACACAAGGATGAAAAAAAAATCAATCTGTGTGTTTGGCAAATGCATCAAAGTGCTTCACAGATAACCTACCACCCAGTATGGTGATCGTGTATTTCTAGGCAAACGTTACAGCCAATTTTGGCACATTGAGGTCCCACAACCAGCCGTGAAATGAATGACTAATTTATTTGGTCTCAATTCATGAGTCTGGCCAAAATCGGCTAACGTGTCGCCTGAGACCCAGAATTTTTCAGCACATTAGAGAGCCACGCAAGCCCATCGTACTTGTTCAATGGGCCAAACAGTCTTCTTCTGTGGCCAAGTAGAGTGGAACCTGGCCAACCAAGCTCCCTTGCGGAGACTCCCTGCAGAACGATTTCACAACAAAAGGGCATCTGGCTGTCCTGCCCTGCAGAAATTTGTCTTGTTATTGCAACATCGGAAGAGCTTCATTGGATGTAAAGAGAAACTAATGCCTTGTACAGTAGATTAGAATGTCCCTTGTGAACTCTTTAGGGAGTGACTTAATTGGTGAAATGTTGCCCAATCTTAACTGTACTTCTGTAAAACTATTAAAGTACAGAAAAACGATAGCGCAATTCCAATCTACAGACTGTTAAATCTCAAGACATGTTCCACAATCACTGCTCTTTGCAGCCCTTCATGCAGGGCAGGGTCTTGGAGCACTCAACAGTGCCGGAGCCTGAATCCGAGCCGGGGGGGAGAGAAGAGGTGACCGTAAGTACGGTCAATAGAAAACAAGACACTTAATATATAAAAGGAAAATATGCTGACTTTGTACTGAATTTGCTTCCAACGCATTAAAGACCAGTTTGCAGAGCTGTAAAGGAACCCTTTGCACATCTGAACTGGCTAGTGGATGTACTACCGAACACAACATGATGGAATGATCTTTCACCTGAAGTTCCCTATGATTCAATTAAACGATTCCATAATATAATACCATGTTTGAACTAGCAACTCTTCATGTTAAATTGCCTCACTGTACTTGCGCAAGAAGTTACAGCATTTTGAAGTGTACTGAGTGATAGTTATGCAGATAACCAGAGTCAGCACATCCCCAAAAACAACTCTGAGATAGATGACTGATCAATTCATTGTATTTTTGGAAACGGCAGAAATATTGGCTAGGGTATTTCTGCTTTCGAAATAACATTATGCGATCTTTGACTGGCAACAATGCATTAAAAAAACATTACTGCATATGGTTTCAGCCTAGAGTATAAGGTTAGAGTCCTAACACAGGGCTTGAATCCACAACCTTCTAACTCACAGAGACAAGATTTCTAACCAACCGAGCCAGGCTGTCGCACAGTTTATGTCTGTGATGTTTATATTGAAGAACCGGTCGAGAAACCAGCTCCTGAAAAACAAAACAACAACAAAATAATGGGCATCCAATAAACTTTTTAAGAGATCATTTATGAGCAGAGCTGGCTTCGCTTTGCCTGTGTTTATCCTGTCAGTGGCGCAAATCGTGGCCCTGATTTATACAGTATTTTTGTGGTGTT